GTTGTGTATCCCAAAGTCTGCTTTGGAGGACATTTACCCAAAAATCCAAGGCCGAATGTCTTTGACCGCTGAAGTGCTCCCCCACTGGGAAGGAACATCCCTGTCTGGCAATTGTTTTGCAGTGTCCATTCATTCATTGTCATAGTGTCTGCATGGTTTCACCAATACACCATGCCTTGGATCATCATTGCCTGCAGAGTATGAGATAGACAACATTGGCTGAGTCACATGCCATGTGATTTCTGACCTTGTCCACCCCAGTCCAACAACACCACCTCCACATCATGGCTACTGTCGACACCACCAACTACCGGCTCAAAATGGAGAAGATCTCCAAGAAGATTGCGCATATTGACACAGACATCAAGTTTCTACAGAAATGCAAGAAAGCGCAAAGAATCCCGAAAAGACTGCAGGTCACGGACCCACTCAAGTCAATCTACGATACTGATTACGCTGAGAAACTTTGCCGTCGCACCTCTTGCAGACTCCTCAACCATCTCATACACCAACTCTACGGCAAGTGCGGTAACCTTGAAATCGAGATAGAATCCATATTCTCACCTTGTGCTCAAGATACTGCGGTACAGTTACGAGACACTACCGAACAGATGAGGCAATGGAACTACACCACCTACATGCACACCAAGAACAAGAACAAGAACCTGGAGAAACTTGGCATCACCACCAGACATAATCAAGTCTCCCTTGGTACCACAGTCGAAAGCGGTACCAACACAGGAAAATCCATCGTTAACTTCTCTGAGCACACTCTTCAACTGGACAAGATTGAAGTTCTCAGCTGAGGATTCAGTTTATGCCCACCACCAAAATGGACCCCATTGGTCTTGCAGCAGACACAGAGGAATTCATCAGATAAATGAGACTCCATGAAGTCTTCCAAGATGTCAGCAGTGAGCCCAATGAGACAAATAATGAACTGGATCAGTCAACAGAGAGATCCATGTGGGAGCGGGCAAAGAAGGAGTCAAATTGGATCCCTCTGGAGGGCCGCTGCCTGGGGCTTGACAGATACGCTGAAGGCATCAGAGAATGCATGATCGCCAGATTCATCAGCCGCACTCACAATGTAGTGCAAAACGTCACCAGGGCACAACACAACACCATCCATGCTCTCAAAACCAATTGCAACATTGTCATCAAACCAGCAGACAGTGGAGGAGCCATCATCAAGCAGAATACAGTGGACTACTGCAAGGAGGTGTCCTGACAGCTGAACAACCAGGAACACTACAGACAACGACCTGCCGATTCGACCAAAGAACACACCCATCAACTGAACAGGCTGGTCAAGACTTTTGATCCAGTCCTTCAGAGTACCCTACATACTCTCATCCTGCGGACTTCCTATGTAGGGGACTTCTACTGCCTTCCAAAGATACGCAAAGCCAACACATCTGGATGTCCCATCATAACAGCCAATGGGACCCTGCGTGAGAACCTCTCTGGCTATGTTGAGGGCATCTTGAAACCCTTTGTATAGGGAACCCCCAGCTTCTGTCGTGACACTACAGATTTCTTACAGAAACTCAGCACCCGTGGACCAGTCGAATCAGGAACATTCCTCGTCACAATGGACGTTTTGGCACTCTACGCCAGCATCCCCTCTGACAATGGCATCACCACAACAGCCTCAGTACTCAATATCAAAAGCTGCCAATTTCCAGATGCCATCCTAGAACTCATCTGCTTCATCTTCAACCACAATGTCTTCACCTCAACAACCAGTTCTTCATCCAGATACATGGAACAGCCATGGGGACCAGATTTGCTCCCCAATATGCCAACATTTTCATGCACAGGTTCAACCAAGACTTCTTTGCTACACAGAACCTTTGGCAAACACTGTATACCTGATACATTGACGATGTTTTCTTCCTTTGGACTCATGGCAAGGAACCACTGAAACAACTACATCGCGATATCAACAAGTTTCATCCCACCATCAGACTTATCTTGGACTACTCTTTAGAACCAGTCTCATTCTTGGACACATGCATCTCCATCAAGGACGGATACCTCTGTACCTCATTCTACCTCAAGCCTATGGATAACCTCATGATGCTGCACTTCTCCAGCTTCCACTGTAAACATTTTAAAACAGCCATCCCCTACAGATGAGCCCTACCCATACACAGGATCTGTTCAGATGAGGAATAACAAGACAAACGCCTGAAAGTGTTGAAGGACGCCCTCATAGGAACAGGATATGATGCTCAACTCATCAATTGCCAGTTCCAATGTGCCACAGCAAAAAACCATCATGCCCTCCTCAGAAGACAACACAGGATACATCCGACAGGGTACCCTTCATCATTCAGTACTTCACGGGAGCGGAGACACTACACCATGTTCTTTGCAACCTTCAACACATTATCGATGATGATGAGCACCTTGCCAAGATCTTCCCTACACCTCCACTTCTTGTCTTCAAACAACCGCCAAACCTTAAACAGGTCATTGTTTGCAGCAAACTACCCAGCCTTCAGAACAACATTGACCACAACACTGTACAATCCCGTCATAGCAACCTCTGCCAGACATGTCAGATCATCGGCATGGACACTACCATCACATGTGGGAACATCATCCACTACGTGCACAGTAGATACTCATGTGACTCGGCCAACGTTGTCGATCTCAAACGCTGCAGGCAAGGATGACCCGCGGCATGGTATTTTGGCAAAACCATGCAGATGCTACAACAACGGATGAATGGACACCACAAAACAATCGCTAGACAGGGATGTTCCGTCCCAGTGGGGGAACACTTCAGCGGTCAAGGACATTTGGCCTCGGATCTTCGAGTAAATGTCCTCCAAGGCGGACTTTGGGATATACAATGCAAAGTCGCCAAGTACAGGCTGATAGCCAAGTTCAGTACCTAATGGGACGGCCTCAACCGGGATCTTAGGTTCATGTTGCACTACAGGTGATGCCACCACACTAAACATTCTCTCTCTCACACAAACACACACACACACACACATATCCTCTCTCATACACACACTGTCTCTTTCACACACACACTCTCTCTCTCTCTCTCTCTCTCACACACTCTCTCTCACACACACACACACGCACACACTTGTGAATCTATGGGGTGAATTTGTATTTGCAGATACATTCTATTTTGTTCAAAAAGCACACAATTTATAGACAGTCAATCAATGTGGCATTTTATAAATTCCTACTTTAGAAATAAAACCAGTCTGACTCCAAACCAAAATACAAACAGATTCTAAACAAGGCCTCTGCATTGTCTGACCTAAAACATCACCTCTTCTTTACATTGATAAAACCTTTAGTTCTCTCAGGACAGTGACTTCAAAGGAATTTGGGGATTTACATATACATATTAATCAATTAAAACCTTCTAACTGATTAAAGATTTAACAGCAATATAGGTTTGTTTAGTACATCTTCATCAGTGGTATGACCCTTTGATCTTTTACTTATAAATTCTGTGTCTGATACTACCTTTCTTACTAACACCTGAAGAAGGAAAAAGACTTCGAAAGCCTATGTTTTCAAATAAGCCTGTTGGCCTATAACCTGGTGTTGTGTGATTTCTGACCTTACCTTGCTGTAAATTGCAGTTTCTATAATGTTCACTTTCAGAGCCCTGCCAGAACCTTCTAAACAGCAAATAGTGGGCTGCCTGCCCTGCCCTTTTCCCTTGCCATGAAAAGACCCCCATTGTTGGAAATGGAGTTGGATTTAACACTTCTGCTGCTCAGTGTCCAGCATTTTCTATTTCCTTCTTGAAGCAGGATTGTAAAATCCAGCACTGAATGTCAGAGATACAACAAGTAATACTATGCAATAAAGAGATGCAAGTTCATTGATCCATGCCAACTGCACTGAATAGGAAAATACTGACGAGGATCTTGGTGGTTTACTGGAAAATGTGAAATTGAATAAATCGTAGACCTACACTGCTAACCAGCCAACTGTTGCAGAGAACAAAAATACTGTCATATGCTTTCACCAGTGAGGACATTATTTAAAAAGTGATACCTTGAAAACAATAATAAGCTGATTATCAAAGCAAAACATGTAAATCACATGAGGACTAGTCACAACAGAGTTGTAAAGGTGCTGAATATTTTGTAAATTTTGTGGTACCTACTTTATAAATTGAATTGAAGAGCTTGTTGTATGTTGCTGTTACTTATACTGCAATGGTTAAACAACTTTGAATTATCAAGAGCGATCAAAATAAATCTACACTATCAAAAGAGAAATAAAGTTGGTGATCAGCTTTTAAAAAGTGATTTAAATTTGTCTGCATGCCGAGTTCATAGGTGATATTTCTGGAATAAGGCATACCATGTGTTAGACATTTCTAAATATATGCTCCATTCTTAAGTCAGTTTTTTCATAGTATCCAACATGCATTTGACATTTCAACTCAGCACTGCTTGGCAACATGAGAAATAAATATTTTGCTTAGTTAAGCAAAACTGACTGTCATCTGGTAAATAAAATTCTCATCTACTTCAGAAACAGTGAATGCGAAACATATGCAATTATACTCTTGCTTCTTCCTTGCAGTTGGGTCAATGTCACAAACCAGCATGCAATTCAACTATATTTAGTGCAGTATATTGATAGACAATACTCCTAGTTCATATATGTGTGACTTAGTGCCTTTAGTGGTGCTTACAATAAATTGCCCACCATAATCAGGCTATTAAAAATATGCGTTGAATATATATGAGACATTTCTTCTTATCGTAATGGAAACATTTTTGGAGAGTTGACAAAGAAGAGTTTAGTGCTTCCATTATAAGACACTTAATCAGTTCTTGGTTTGTGGCATGGAGGAATCAAAAGAGTGAAAAATATTTTTCAAAATGAGAGGAAAAATATAACTTTTTAAAGCAAATTTGGCTTTTCACACTCCATAAACAAAATAACCACGTGCTTTCCTAAGCCAGTTTTCTAAGAATTATGTTTTTACTGTTTTTGTTTAGAATGACTACCGGAAATTATCTATGCAATGCAAAGACTTTGTTGTTGGTGTTCTTGACCTGTGCCGAGACAGTGAAGAAGTTGAAGCTATTCTGAATGGTGACATGGAAGCTGAGCGGGATGAAGGACACCACAATCAAAGAGTAGGATTAACACGTGTCAAACTTGCCATTAAGTATGAAGTCAAAAAGGTACAATTTCTTTTAAAGTCTTGGCATTTAGTTATATTCTTCATTATAACTAACAATATGGTCCAGGAGGTTTCAAGGAAAGTGTTGGGCTTGTTGTGGATTGAACAGTGAGTTTTGTTTGCACTGACTGCATGGTTTGAAATGGCGAGTCACTAGTTTCTCCATTCAGAATATGTATGAATAAGGTGGAAGCAGGGAAAGATCAGGGGACTCTTGTCTGACAGCTAACTTGATAAGTGTTAGGAAGAAAGGTTCTTGAAAGAGTTTTACACAAAGGAAGAAGAGGGTGCAGGCAAGAGAGGCCATGACTTAGAACTTAACAAAAGCAAATCATTTGCAGAGGGAAAACATTGATGACTGCCCCCTCTCAGACTAGTTAAAACTGCATCGGGATCCTTTTAATGTAAGAGGACCCCAATCTGCTTATTAGATGAGACTTTCACCTGAATAAGTAGGCTATCTCAGCTGTCTGCAATAGCATGCAGGTTCACGCCACACAGAATTAGGATCTAACTGTATAAGTAAGCAGCTTAATTTTAATAGATAACAAAGTTTGGAATTGGAGGAACACAGCAGGCCAGGCAGCATCAGAGGAACAGGAAGCTGATGTTTTGGGTTGGGTCCCCTCTGATGCTGTCCAGCCTGCTATGTACCTCCAGTTCCACACTTTGTTATCTCTGACTCTAGCATCTGCAGTTCCTGCTATCCCTGCTTAATTTTACTTGCTAGATTGCTTGGTTTCCAACCAACCAACCTGTCTGTTGCGGATAAGGTATGCATCTGATACCTGAAATTCTTCTTTCCACTACATTAGCAATTATTGCTCAAGCTGCACTAAAATAGCAAAAAGGAATTTCTAATAACCCATAAAAGAACTGGTTGTTGGTATCTCGTTGTGCAATTTGAAAACTTCAGCATCTACAATAGATTTTTAGCATTTTATAGAAAACACCTGTTGCTCACCAAAAGAGCACTGCTGCCTCGCAGTGCCAGGGATCTGGATTTGCCTATGCGGAGTTTGCTCATTCTCCTCCTGTGTCTATGTGGGTTTCCGCCAGGTGCTTTGGTTTCCTCCTACAATCCAAAGGTTAGTTGGATTGGCTCTGCTAAACTGGCAATAGTGTCCAGAGATATGGATTAACTATGTTAAATGTGGTTTTATGGGGATAGGGTAGAGGGGGTGGGTTTGGGTGGGATGCTTTTCGGAGGGTCAGTGTGGACTTGATGGGCTGAATGGCCTGCTTCCACACTTTAGGGATTCTATGAATAACTGTTGTCAATTTTCTACAAAAAAAACAGTTCATTCCCTTTTCAGTAGTGCAAGATGAATTGAAAAGAATAATTATCCTTCTGCATTTTGTTTCAGTGTCCTTTCTTCCCTTCACTACCCTTCAAGTTACTTCAAAGCAATCCTTTGAATTTCCCAATTGAAGCAACTGAGGGGCAACCTTCTCTCGAGTACCTCTTTGGAAGAAGGGGTTCAGCTTGCAGTTGCTTGTTTTTCACTTGAGGAATAGGCAGCTCTCAGAATAAAATCTGGTGGCACCTTTGGCATCTATTTTCTCACCTGATTTACTTTTCAAACAGAATTTTAAATAGGTGACAAACATTCCTATTTGTGGATCCCCATTGCCATGTTACCACACAAAAGGCTGGACCATAAGTGGACACATTTGTTCTAATGCGTGGTCCTTAAAATAACACTGAAGGCAACTCAGGACAATACATTTTTAGGTTTTCTGAAGATCTTCTGCAGCTTCTTTGGTAGAAGTGCCTCCCAGCAAACCCTACCTGCCAACCATCTCTGTGTAGAAGTTACATGATTTTCTGTAATCTGAAACTGGCAGGTTTCAAAAGGTAGATCAACAGCATGCGCATGCTGAAGGGATTGAAACGAAGCCCAGACCTGAAAATGGCTGAAAACTCCTGGCTATCACTTTAGGCAAGTGTGTGCTGATCCCATGCACATTTTGGGCTGAAGTTGAAAATGACCTTTTTTTTAACTAACCGTCAGTGCCTGTCACCCAAAAATAACTTCCTCCCTCCTTGTAAGGTAGTTCCTGGCTTCTAAGCACTGACCCTCTTCTTTGGTAGGATAACTAAAATTACAAGTATTTAATGGCACTGGGACAATTGCCTAGATTCTAACTATTGGAGGTACATGTTCAAAGTGCACTGGCCAGATGCTCTAATCTGTAGTGAGAAACTATTTCAAAGGCTGGCCTTTATTACCGTGCCATTCCTGAGAATGAACATCATCTGACCCCTTCCTTGGTCACAGTAACCTTTATTGCAGTTTGCGGGCTCCCACAACCATAAATTAAAGAATAGCCACCCAATGAATATCATTGTTCTGTTGAAAGTCAACCAAGAATTCAAGACTGGTGTCCACTTGGATAGACTATTGGTGTTTGAAAGCTTCACTTTTTGACTTAGACGAGGTAATTCTACCAATAGACCAAAGGTTTGATCACTTGACTATTATAGACAATAAGAACAAAACAATGCAGGAATGAGAAACGTCAGCCTTTCTGCTCCTATGATGCTGCTTGGCCTGCTGTGTTCATCCAGCTCTACACCTTGTTGTCCAGGAATGAGAAAACGTTGCTCAATCCAATAACCTATAAGTTACATGATTTGCTTTAATGAATGATTATTTGCTCCTTACAGTTTGTTGCACACCCAAATTGCCAACAGCAACTACTCACAATATGGTATGAAAACCTTTCAGGGTTGCGGGAGCAGCCCATAGCAATGAAATGCCTTGTGGTCCTCGTTATTGCGCTTGGGCTCCCATTTCTTGCAATTGGCTATTGGATTGCACCTTGCAGCAAGGTAAGCAATGTTTACTTTAAAATGGAAATTAATAATCTCTTTAAATCATGCAATGGAACACACCAAGAACCTTTGTAAGTTGTTGAAATGTTATCAAATATGGTTCCATTTTACTATTTTTCAGCATTTAGCTTTGCTAGATTTTGATTTAATGTTATAGGTGTTAGTCTATAATTGGCAAATGTAGATTTATTACCTGAGATTTATTCCACATTTGTTAGAATTATGGAAATACATGTTAAAATCTGTTTTATTTACACTTAAAATGTCTACTGCTCTCAAGGACTAGGTTTACATCAAAAACAATGGAAACAGAAAACAGGGGCAGGAAGAGCTTGTGTTAAGGCTAGAAAACAGATAAGAGAGGCCTTTGTAACATAAAAATAGACAGTAAAAGCTTGTTTAAACATATGAAAGGAAGACAGAGGTCAAAGTTAATATCCGCCTCTTAGAAAAAGAGGCTGGGCTAATAACAATAGGGAACCAGGAAATGGCAAAGGATTTGAATAAATATTTTGCATCAGTTTTCACAGTTGAGGAAACATTCCAAAAATACAATATACTCAAGTGGCTAAAGGAGCAATGGGTTTGGGATGGGGTGGGATAGGGATGGAGGAAATGAACACGAAGTAATCAGTTTCAAAAAAGTATTCGGGAAACTAATGGAGCTAAAGCCGATAAGTCTCCTGGTCCTGATGGGTTACATACTAGGATTTTAAAGGGCGTAGCTACAGAGATAGAGGATGAACTGGTCGCAATCTTCCAAGAATCTTCAGATTCAGAAAACGTCTCTCAGGATTTTGGAAAGCTATCAATGTAATGTCTTTATTCAAAAGAGAAGGAGATAATAAAAACACAGGTAATGACAGGTCAAAGAACTTAACATCTGACATTGAGAAAATGTCAGAAACTGTTATAAAAGGAAGTAAAAGCAGAGCATTTAGAAATGCATATTATCATCAAGTAGACCCAACGTGTTTTCATTAAGGGGAAATCATGCCTGACAAACCTTTTCCAGTTTGTTGAGGAGGTAACAAGCAGGATAGTTAAGGGGAATGAGTAGAAGTGAAATATTTGGATTTGCAAAAGTCTCCCAATAAGGTACTGCAGATAAGGCTGCTTAAGAGAAGAACCCATGGTGTGGAGATAGTATATTAGTGTGGATGTGCGATTGGCTAGCTAATAGAAGACAGAAAGTTGGGATGAAAGGTGCATTTTGAGGATGGTAACTTGAAACTAGTGGAGTACCACAGGGGCTGCAATTATTTTCAAACAATATATGAATGACTTGGAGGATGGAAGTGAGTGTACTATTGCCAGTTTACAGATGACACAAAAATAGGTGGGAAGTGCTGAAGATAACATGCAGGGTGGAATCTTAAAGGGATCTGAGCATCATGGACTGTGGTGAAATACGTGGCAGAATTGGGTGATGCATATTGCGAGGCCCACCTTGATGCCGAGATACCTGTTTTCTAACTTTTATGCTCTTCATAAGCATGGTGGGCAGATTCTCGATAGACAGTGGAGAGTTGCCAATTGGTGGTCATTATTTATTGTTAAATGCTCTGTTAATGCCACAACTTTCTTCATTAATATTCAACCTCGCATTTATACCCAACTTGCCATACAAGTTAGATGTAAGATAAACTTGACAAGAAAACCAGAGTGGGTACCTCATGGATTCAGCTCACTGCTGGCCCTGAGCGACCTCCATGTTCGACACAAGGCAACAACATTTCAGGGCACGATACACAGGCACCAACTAAACGCAGTCTTCCTCCGTTGCCATTTGCATCTGTCATCTACTAACCCACGACAACCATTCTGGCACTTATTTTATGCGGCATCAGCACCCTCAGGAAACACAGACTTGCATTGCAGGGTGCACCAGCAAAAGCATTGAAAAGCTGCAACAGGGATACTTGGCACACAGAGACAGGCACCCAGTTCACAGTCTGGATTAGACTGCATCTCAGAGTCGTTCGCTTGCTCTCTTAGTATTTGCTCATTTAACCTACCTGCTGTCAGCATCACTGTCTTACCTTGCCTTGTTTTGCCATCAATTAGGGTAGTCACAGAAACAGGTAACATGCCTTGCTGCTAAGCAGCCCTCAGTCTAGAGGGGGTGCACATCTTGCTGTATGACAGTGTGCTATGTCAATCTCACCCCACTCCAATGTGCCAGCAGCTTATGCAGCATATGCACTACATGTGCAACAAGATGTGTAGCCATCCTACACCATTGGCCCTCTCTGGATATGGCACCTCTGTGGCACAGTGACTACTGGACAAATCTTGCACATTTTCACCTGTGTGCAAAGAGGAGCCAAGCATTAGGGATGCTGAACTAAGAGGGCCAAAACTATAACAACACCCAATGCTGTGTGTTCATATTGTTCCCTCTGCTTCAGATGGGCACAGTAGGCTATCAGCACAGACCTCCATCAATTACAACTCATGCGTAGCCATGAACAGGCCATTCCAAATGCAAATCATTTGTTATGTGATTCTTTTTTCTCTCACTATGCATTTACTTCTCATTTGCGAAGTACTTTTGAACTGTTCCCTTTGGTTCTCAATCCCTTTCTGAGCAGGAACAGTTTCTCCTTATCTACATTTTGCAGACTCCTCATGATTTTGAAAACATCTATCAAATCTGCCCGTTGCATTATGCACCATCATCCAAAGATAAAAAATGCAAACAAGAACAGTCTGTGTGTCATGGGCTTACAAAGTGATGAACTGATGAGTATTGGTTCAAGTGCAAACATTCTTCATGTCACAGAAATGAATCTTATGACATTTGATGCTTGCTGATGATAGGGAGACCAAAGCAGACAGGGACAGACAGTATGTCTTTGGAAATACTTCATTAGTTACTTTGCCTAAATAAAGTATTGTTTATTGGTGGGTTTGGACAACTCATCAGCTCTTCTTTAAATCACAGTCTCATTATGAATGACATTTTAATTTGCAGCAGTATTTTGTTCTGTGTTGTAACCATTCTGTAATGCTATTCTATGAACATCATAAAGTTTACATGATTTCAGCTCAATAATACTCTCTACATTGCTTGCGATATAATATTCTCATCTTACAATGATTAAGTATGCATTGCTTTTCCTCACAAGGAAACAAATTATGCTGAATTGTCTTTTATTTGGATTATGGTAATATGATGAATAAATATTCCCACTATGTTAAATATACATGATTTACACGATGAAACTTTGTAGTATTCAACAGAATTACATATCACTGGATTTGCATGATGAGTACATTACCTAGAAGTAAATTCATGGGCTACCTATTTTCTTTTAATTTATTTTAACTTTGTAAAATAAGGAATGACTAGACCAAACCACTATTTGGCAAAAGCACTGACTTAATGTTTTCAGCTAATCTTTGACATAAGTGTTATGTAGATCACCACCAATAAAGTGATTTTTTAAAAAATCTGGAGCCCTAAAATGGGATGGTTACTCCATAGAACAATATGTGTCTGACATTCCTGCCAATATCACAATGCTCAATTTATATCCGGAATTAAATTAGCATACCTAATTAACTATATATTTATTGTTTCAATCCACTGAAACTATATACTTTGACAGTTTAGTACCCCCCACCTTTCCCAGACACCTTTATTTATTTTTACGAAACAAACTTATGAGAAACAATAGCTAATGTACAATGTAAGTCAGTTTTAAAAATATATGTTTATGCATGACACCATACATTAAGTAATTATATTGTCCTTATAAAAATCATCTAAATTTGTTAAAATTCTAATAATATCCAATTCACTTTTAAGCAAATCATTCAGAGTGTGAATTTTCTCGGAGGTGATGAAGCTTGTGGTTTGTACTATTCAAAGGGCTGTGAAAAGAGAGATTGGAAAAAATACAGAAATGTTGATGTTAGGTAAAGGTTGCACAGGATTCTACCAACACAAAATGTTGACCCATTCTACAGTACAATAAAATTCCTGAATTTATCTTATAATGTGGGATGGGTTTTATTCCTTGGAAAAATGAAAATGCAGAAGACATAGAAGCAAATTTTCTATTCAGCTACTGGAGCCACTGAGAAATTGCATGGAAATTGATTTTGATGGATCCCACATCATATTGTTTTCTGGTAGCATTTTAAGCCAGTGTAATGTGCAAGGGCTTCATTAAAATAATCAATTCTATTTTAAATTACATTTAAGTATTCTTCACTCAATTTCCTGTCCTTTAAGTTTATTTGTTTCATAAGCAGATTGACTTTTAATGAGGCAGTTCTATTTTTCTCAATTCTTTGTGTGGCTTTAAGTCTGCTTTATTTTTAATCCTTGTTTGATCAGTACAAGCAGAACATACTAATGTTAGCACAAAAGCCGTTGAATATTATCTGCAAAACTGCAGGAAAGCTGACTATAAATGAAGCACTTGCAAGAGTTCAAGGAATAAAGAATTTGAACAAGGCGGGAGGGGTGGGGGTTGCGGGTAGACTCCTGGAACATTAACATCTTTTTCAAACTCCATCAGCAAGAGGGCATCTAACTTCAAAATATAGCATCCTATTTAGCAAGTCAATTTAAAATTAATGATGATAATTACTTTTAAAACACCCCAAGTTGTATTTAATCAGTGAACTGGTACAAGATGTAAGAAAGTATGCCAGGAAGAAACTATAAATAACCATTGACATTTTAAAAATATTCATTCATGGGACATGGGCTTACACTACTAGGCCAGGATTTATTGCTCATCCCTAACATCCCTCGAGAAGCTGGTGCTGAGCTGTCATCTTGTACTGCTGCAGTCTTTGGGGTGTAGGGGTGCCACAGTGGTGAAAGGAATTAAATTTTATGATTTTGTACCAGTGACAATTAAGGAAGGGCAATATAGTTCAAGTCAAGATAGTATGTGTTTTGGAGGGAAACTTTTAAATGATAGTGTACCATATATCTGATGCCCTTGTCCTTCTAGATGATTACCATCATGGAAGAT